AACAGAGGAAAGGGTGAATTCCCATTAGGAAAATTTTGTGTGGTCCAAAAAAAAAAGAGACTTTTTTTTTTTCCCTTTTTTTTTTTTTTTTTTTTTTTTTAAACCCCATTCGGTGTGGTTTGCTTTCTCATTGTATTTTTCCGAAAGCAGAATATAACTTATGAACAAAGCCATGTGGGTGATGATCGGTGCTCCAATTGGAGAGAAATGAAGAGGAGTGTTGCGCCCTTGAATCAGGAGGATGTTTTCATTCTACATTTTGTTATTTTCATATTGAATTATTTAAACGTTCCAAATATTTTACAGGTAATGTTTTCCGTCACTGAGCGCACGCCTCCTGCTCGCCACGGTGACCGCAGACATCTTTGTGTCAAATAGCAGCTGCCTTTGAAACATGCTGAATGGAGACGCACAAACGGGCCCCGCAGCCTGGTTTAGGTTTAACAAATCACACTGGGTGTGGCAAGTCGACACATTTGCACATACTCCTCCCAGTATTTTTGCACTTTGATGATCAGCATATGTTTTCCATATTAATGAAGTCCTGATTTGAATCGCACTGAGAAATTCACAAGTAAGAGATACTTAAATAAAATGATTAGAAATGAATTTTTAATCTGCAAGGACTGGATATTTCATAGGGAGTCTTTTTTTATTATTATTTTTTATTTTCCAAAACTATTAATATAGCTAAATATAAGTTTGGATTTTTTTTTTCTTTGTGTCAAACTGTATTTTAAGTTTCACTAAACGAGGTTTATAATCTGACAATTTAATTAGTATCTACAAAAGCTTTTTTAATCCTTTCTTTTCGATGAGATTAGTCACTAGCAACAATTGTTTTTAAAACAAAACTGAAACTACAATTGAAACCGATTCTAAATAAATGTCTGAATATATGAATTTTGAGGGGGTTTTTTTTCCTTCAAGTAAAATAAATTAATAATTTAATAAATTATCCAAAGTTACATCTGAAATATTTGGCATTATAAGAGATTTTTTTTTTTTTTACAAAATTTCTCAAATGTCGTCGCTCTATTTTTGGACTTTAAGGCCGAACATGGATGGGGTGACTAATTTCGGCACTGAACACGTAGCATTCGCATCATGACTAATTCTCAGACTGCCACTTTCCAAACACTCTCATCTGCTTCGACCAACAAAGTATCACATGTACTGGAAATGGCGCAGAGCCGCGACCTACAAAAACGTGGGCCATTTTCCCTGCGTCGTAAACCGAGGTGCCATCCGCGGCGCTTCAATCATAGTGTAATGGTTTCAATGACATGAACTAAAGAGGTGTGTTAACCCGCAAATAGCCACATTAGGGCGCCGTCTAGTTGTAATGAGATCATGCCAGTGGCTGTATGTCTAATCAGGCCAAGTTTCTCTAGGTTGTCATCATCTCCGCTGTGTGTATGCGTGAAAACGAGAAAGAGGCAGATTGCGATAATGACCCGCGCCGCACATCAATTACAAGCCAAACTGGCCCTCGTGCCATCGCTCTGAATTCGGCAAGGGCGACGGCGTCAAAAGTCGAAGCCACGTCTCGATGACGGATCAGTCGCGGTTCTGCTGGACACTGATTTATACGTAAAGCCTTTGAAACCCCCCCCCCCCAACACCACCACCACCACCACCTCCTGATTGTTTGTGTCTGCGTATCGGTCCCAGCAGGCCGTGGTGTCATGTTGCCAGCAGATCAGCAATTCTGGAAGCAGCGCTCCAGTCTCGCTCCGACAGAAGGGAAGAGAGAGACGAGGCATGCGAGCGTGCGTAGGAGGAGAGGGGAGGCTGGAATCTGACCAGCAAAAGTGAGAAGAGTTTCCCCGGCTCCAAGCGTGCGTCACTGTCCTCCTACGGGGGTGGGGGTGTGGAGGGGGGGGGCGTGTATGTGCTGTGGCACACTCAAACTTTTAGGGGGATGACTCAAGCGTGTCACACTGAAGCCTACGATGCTCCTGCGGGGTGTTTATGCATAGCGAGGTGTGGAGGATCTCCTCTGGGTCCGTCCCCTCCAGGAGGTCGGAGTGAGACGGCACCAAGTCGGCGCCCTTGTCTCCTCCCCCGAGCCGTACCGTCTGTGCAAACGGCTTACATCCGTCTGACACTTAAAAGGAGTGGCTTGAGCCCCATCACACTGAATGCAGTACTGACGATGCATGTGATGGGCCTGCAATTGTCTCCAATTGCTTTTATTCAAATCAGAAAAGAAAGCAGATATTCCTACATGTGCCAAGTTAAACTATTTATAATTACAATAGCATTATGTTATCTTTGCTGTAAAGTTATGGAACAAACAAGCTAAAATTTGTAGTAGTTTTAAGGAGCTTTTTGCGCAGAACAGTAGACCTTTCTGCTGAGTTAGTCAGGCTATCTGCCACTTTTCCCCCCAAATGAAGTTTTTTAAGCATTTTTGCCAACTTCAAAATGACCTCAATCAATCTCTTGACTGGTACAAAATAATAATAATAATAATAATAATAAAGACATGTTCTTGTATGGTCTGTTAGGACTTGCTGGTTCAGTTTTGGAGAATCTACATTGGTGAAATAATGTAAACAAGCCCAGAATATAATTTGTTTCGTTTTGTTTGTTTGTTCCCGTTAACCGTCTAGTCTAACATAGCCAGGTTTGATTTACTTTAGGATGAATACATTTCAATTAAGTCAGCCAAATATTGCGTTAGTTAAGATTTTTCACTGTGTATATGGCAAAAGTAAACAGAGTTAAATAAACAGAACATGCTTAATAAAATAGTATTAATCAGGGCTGTGCTCTGTTTGCGTTCTGTTAAAAATAAAGTGTTTAACAGCCTTCACATTGTTGAGCTCATTTCCATTTATTCAATTATTTAGCAGTGTTTGAATTGGAAATGTTGCTTATTTTGTTAATTAACTAAGGACTATTTTAATTTAGTTCAATTGCTAATTTAAAAGTAATTTATGTCATCTTTTAACTGCATAAAGGATCATTACATATCAAACTGATTCATTCAAACCACAGGGGGAAAATAATAATAATAATAATTGAATTGTCTTAATTCTTAACCTAAAACTTTACCTTGGTAACATTTCAACCTGTTTCTTAAAGCCATTTTCTTAATGTTTCTTATTTTGGATACATACTCAATGGGGCTGCATGATATTAGGAAAACATGACAAGGCAATATTGTTGTTCAACACTGGGATAATGTCGATTGAACCACAGTTTTGCCATTGCTCTGATTTCAATCATCACAATATCCTCACCATTCCCCGTGAACTTTATGATCTTGATCACAAAGATCTATATTTGCTGGGGCCATAACAGACAGTGAAGGTAATTTAATTGGCCAAATGTGTTATTAAAACATGGAATTTTGAAGGACAAACCTTGAAGTATTACAGCTTAATATGTTCCAAGCTGGCCTTCCTGGTTGCAGTCTCACCCACATTGATATTTCCATTTAAATATGATCTTTATCTCCAATGTTGAATAGTTTTATATGCATCAATAGGAATAAAATCCAAAGCGCCACAAAAATAACAATATGGCTGAAGTTCCTCCCTCCTCCTAAAATGATCAGCATCAACTACTATGGCAGTCAAGTATTTTTTTTTTATGTTTATTGGTGCTATAATATTAAAGTTGTTACAGACTGATAATAATTAATTAAAAAACAAATCTCGTCTCTAGGCAATGTTTGAACTAAACTCCGTTAAAACGACTACTTAGTAAGTCCAGTCTTACGTCAAATAAATTAAATCCACCGCAACAATAAAAAAATGAGGATCAAACACGTCACGCAAAACTAAAGGTGTCCATTCTGTAAAACGGCAGCCAACATTGAAACTACAATGAACATTTATAAATACACGCAGTTTACACATATGCAAAGAAACCAAATAAGCGTATTTTCTCACAGAAGTGGTTAAAAAAAAAATGGAGCCGTAAACGCTGCCATGCATGTGCTGTAAAAACAATAACAAACCATCACCGTGTGGTACGTGACGGCGCTGCTTGCGCAAGTTCCTTACCGTTTCTGCCGAGTTTCGCGGCTTCGGCGGGGCGGCAAGAGTCGGTGTCGTCCTTCTCCGGAGACGAGACTGCGTCTGCGTGAACAAAACATCCGCTTACAAACACATTGGCAGCGTTCGCAACAAACTTTAGGGGCCATGCGTGGAGCCCTGCAGCTCCCGAGGCTTGGCTATCAGGTTAGCATTAGCCTGCTAGCGCCAGCCTGAGCTGAGCGTCCTCACACCAAGTAGATCTGTCAAAGCTAACAAACTTACAGCTGGACAGTTCAGCACGTCATGACTGAGCGCGTCAGAGGCACAAACTCTGCACCGAAACGCTTAGCTTTGCGTACGCGCATGTGCACTGCTGTCAAAGCAAGCTATTAATACTGCATTTTGTAGTAATATTTCTGACAGTTACTTTGCTGAGCTCTGACAGACCCTGAATGGTGGAGGAGCTTACTCAACTCAATCACAGACAGTTGGACCACGCACTCCCCGACAGTTTGTCAGCTAAACAACACCACCGAGGCGCCAACTTACTATCAACAAAACGTAATTTAGTCGCACTGACGAAGGAAGACCAAGGTTCGCACAAAAAGGTATCCGGACTTGGTATTTGGCGATCCAGTGTCGCCATTGCTCTTCCTTCTTGTTGCTTTGCTGAGAGCCGTTTTTTCCTCTCTCTCTTTCTCTCTCTCTCTTCGCACGCAGCAGGCGAAAAACGAAAGAACGAGATATGGTGACGTCGCTGTCGGAAAGTTTCGGCTCACGTCGGTCATTTCCGGCAGATCAAGTGGTCGAGTGACAAATGGGGAGCATGTATTTCCATCGAACTCAGTTCACTGAGTTCGATGGAAATACATGGGGAAAAAAACTGCTATCAAGTAAAAATGAAAATTAAGAAAATGAAGGTATGGAAAAGGTCTTGATTCAATAAATGAATATTGCATAAATAAATAATTTATCATAAATAAATAAAAAACATTTTACTTTGCAATTTTGACTAAATTGTGTGAGCAGTGTGGAAGCAACACATTAAAAAATATAAAAGTAGGATTTCTGAATTTATTATGAGTAAAATATTATTTTACAGACACAAACTAAATCTATAGTTTTCATCAAGCAAAAACAAAATAAATAAAATCTTAAGTGCAGGCAAGAAACAATCCAAGAAGCCTCTCCTCAAGAAGGTTTATCTCTGCATTTTCTCTTACCGTCGATCAGCTAGTTCTGATTTTATCATTTAGAGTTTAATGCTCTGGAGTGAAAGAAAAAAGGGTTCAGCTTCAGAAGAAATTGCAGGTGTGAACTGCATGACTTCAGGGCTATATTATCAATGACACATGAATTTGTCTGCAAATTATAGGAAAAGCTGAAGATTATCTATGCTGCAAAGATCAGCGGGAGTCTCTCTCGTTCTCTTTTTTTTAATTTTACTTTCTATATTTCTTTAAGATATTTGTTTGCTTTACTGTAGAATTGCTTGGGCTATAAGTGATATCAAAAAGATTTGAAATGTTTCTAACACTTGAATCTGTAAATCCACAATACTTGGCATTATTAGATAAGTGCAGCATTTTCAACAATTAAGAAAAATATGCAATAAAAACCGAACAAGATTTTATTGGATTTTTGTTTAAATTCTATAGCTGCCCTGAAAATGACTCCAGAATAATAGAGAACAAATGTAAACCATTAATGTTTCAAGAAAACACCAAGAATTATAAGGCCAACTTGACTTTCTAACACAATACAATAATGCCTTATAAAGACAGGTATAAGTAAAGCAATATTTAATGTAAAGTATGATGGCATAAGCCTTATGATTTGTGGTAGCACTGTACATGATAGCTTGTGTGTAGCATTAATAAAATTGCTAAAATAAATAACTTAAATAGTAGAACAAGAACTTAGATCTTACATATGAATAAAAACTGAAGGGAATAATGTCGAAGAGCAGTCTGACTGGTGAAATGAACAATGAAAGCAATAACACAAATGATATATATATATATATATATATACATGAATAAAACACCGTTGGCTATTGGAAAAGCAAAGATAGAGGAAAACTAATAAAACCAAACCATGTTTAACGAAAGTAATTCTTTAAGTTTATTACATCACACAATAAAATATAACAGTAGGAACTAAATCATTACATCTGCTGATAAAAAAAATAAGAGCAATATAATTTCAGCACGATTCAGCAAGTGGCGTTGATTACCCTACACTGCCCTCTTGTGGCAATGAGTAGAAACTGTTCTTCAAGTGCAAAGGCTGCTTTAGTCTGAGTAATATAGTTGCAAAAAAAAAAAAAAATATATATATATATATATATATATATATAAATTATACTTTTACTTTAGGTTGAACATATTAATACAAGCCTTGTTTTCTATCAGCATCAATTTCGATACAGACAGGCTGACGATTACAAGGACATTATGGTCTTAATCGGGAGTCAGGAAATGACAATAATTAGCTTATGAAGGCCAGTTCCACACATTAGACGCAATATCTATAGATGGCTATGTTATATTCTGCACTTAAAAACACATTTTCTACAACATCTTCATCGAGATTTTATGTGAATGCAAACTAATGGAAGCAGATAAAAGATATGGCTTTATAATTAATCAATCCATCTTTATCCACTGACCAGTGGAGGACACAATACTGGAAATGACGTGGTGTTATAACTCACATTAACTCTCACTATAAGCTTTCACAAGAAAACTACATTTCACAAACAAAGCTCCTGGAGACACCTCAATGTCTTTTCATCACAAAAATAGCATGCCAAAAATACTTTTAAACACGAAAACTGTCACAGTCGAGAGATCGGTGAGGAATCACTGAAGGATAAGATTCACACTATTAAATAACAAGGTTAATTGTACTAGAAGGTACAACTAAAAGTTATTCACACCGTCTAGGCTCCTGTGTTAGAGAAAAGCAGCCATTGTGCATGATGCACAGCCACTTTGGCTGTAGGCGTATCAAACCCAAGACTCCAAGGCTCCTACTCTGTGAAGAGAACAACACAAAGCCATAGTAACAGTTGTTTGCAGATTGCAATAAGTCACGTAGAGGAAACAAGCTGAAGAAGGGGAGACCATAAGTTATGCTTTCGAGTATAGGAGGGAAATTAACACCACTGAACACTCCACTGACACATTATGGTAGTGGCAGCATTGTGCTGCGATGTTTTGAAGGATCAGGGAGGCTGGCAATGGTGGGGGTTCAAGCCAGAGGCTGCAAAAGATTTAATTTTGTGTTTGAATTGATTGTTTTACTGTTTACTTTGAGAGCAAGTATTTATGTCAAAAAGATGTCGATGTAAAACCTAGCATCGTCACAAAAGTTAAAAACATTCTTAAAACTTGTGCGACAAAACGGAAGGAGAAAGAGTGCACGTATAAAATCAAACACCATCAGATACAAAGGAAATTCAATGATAATAAAAAAAAAAATCCATTCACTTTTATTGACAAGTACAATGAAATTATGCAGGCCACATCCAAGAAAGCAGATATCTTTTCAACTGTTCATTCAGATACATATGGGAAACAAAAACATATTTTACTCAATACAAAGTAAAGTACAAAAACATGTTTGGTGTCACATCAAGAATTAAGCAAACTGACAACAGAAAACAATAAAATGAGCTTCAACAAATAGTACTTTGGCAGAATTTCATGTATTTTTGCAAAATATGAATGCTGAAAATTGGAATATAATGAAAAAGATGTTACCAATACATTCTATAGGATTTCTTAGTCCTTTAATTGGTACCTTGGTTCCAACTCAACACAGCATCTTTATCAGCCTATCTGGTGTTTTTGGGTTTCGTACTTAAAAAACTCACAATCACATTAAGCACCGTAGAAGTAACTAGATTCTTGATATTTGAGTTTCAAACAACTTGACAGTCATTTTTGAAGCTTGAAAGCAAACCAAAAATATGGCTGAATGTAGGGATTTGGCGAAAAGCTTCACCAGGAGTTGCACTTACCACCGCCTGCCACTAGGTGGTGGTAAATGGCAAAGAAATTCAAAGAACATGAAAGAAAATAAACGTTTTGAGCTAAATGCGAACGTGCTTCAAGTAAAAACAGCAACAGAATTGTAAAGATTTCACACAAATTTTATGGCCAAATGTAATTTATATTTTTCTATTCATTTATTTGTCACTAAACAATGGGGCGTCACACTTATTGGGAACCCTAGAAAAAATGTGGGGGAAAAAAGGCCTTAAGATTAAACTGGTTTACTTACAGATATTTTGAAATTCAACCTTTGATTTGAATACATTTATTCAAAGGAAATCATTTGGGTGTCGCTTTATTTCCTCCACTATAGATTTAACTTGCATGATGGTGTGAAGCCCACTTAAAAGGTAAAAATGTTTGATGCAAGTTAAATACAAGAAAGACCTTTCGTTGTTCCAAGTTGCAAGACTTTCCAAAGAAATATATGCAGAATGGGGGATTTTATTATTTCAGGACCGTCACTGCGCAAGAAGTAAACCGACGTCAAGTCATTTAGGTTGCAAAATGCCAGTACGGCTTTGTGCAACGTTAGCACAAGCAAAAAGCCAACCTACAACAGGTTCCAACAATCTCACCCTCTATCAAGAACATTTTCTAGATATGTATAAAAGCTCAATACTTCATATATATTTGACTTTCCTTTCCTTCTTATGCATAACAACAAGTGGGCACTGGTGTTAGATTGGCGCAGGAACCTGCTGTCTTCCAGGTCCAGGTTGGGAGGAGAATTTCTGGGAGTGCCAGCGAGTCTCCTTGTAAACAAACCAGGCGTTGCCGGCCCAAATGAACATGTTGAGGTAGCCGAACACCTGCAAATGCACAAGCAAAACAAGAAAATGCATAGGTAAATCTAGAATCTTAAGCAAGGTAAGAGATTGAAAAGATCAGACTTTACTAATCATTTGCTCTAGAACTAATCGACAGCTTCAGCTATTGATGACTGAAAGTAGTACAAACTAGCCGCTGGCATGCATTTCTTCTTACCACAGAGATGTTGAGCGTCCGCATGTTGGCGAAGTCCGTGACTTCACACGTGACGTTCGTTCCCTTACAAAGAGCTAGCGTGCCGCTAATTCCGTCAGTGTCCGTGGCGTCCTTTACGTTCTGCAGACCCTTTGCCCAGGCAGATGAGCAGACCAACCACAGGAAGGCCAGGACTGCTGTGATGATAAAGTCCTAGCAAAAAAAAAAGTCAATAAGATTTTCACAATACAATACAAAATGTGGTCAGCCATTTTGATTTTGTTCAGTTTATTTACTCACAAAAATAGGCCCGAAGTCAGAGTCTTTGTAGACATGCATGTAGCCTAAGTAAACCAGCAGAGCTACCATGCTGTACAGGAAGCACACGACTCCGATGCCGACGAAGAACTCCGCGGCGGACGACGAGTCTCCCATCAGGTGCGTGGTAGTGACAGAGTGATTACAAATAGTGACGTTCCCATCGATGAGCGGGACCTGGCTCAGCCTGTCCATGACATAGAGGAGAGCCCGAACGAGTAAAAACATGTTTACTCAATACCTTTTGGATTTAGTTATTATTATTTATTTTTTTTTTTTTTGACATATGCACTGATAAGTGACCAAAACTGGCTGATTGGGACCATCTGTGATGAGAGAGTGACCGGTCAGAAACTTTAATTGCTCAAG